GACCTCACTCCTGTTTTTGAATACTAGAGTGATATTTCATGTCCATAGCAAAGGTTTCACCAGTCATCTTCAACATAAAGAAGGGATCACAGTAACTCACTCTTCCCGTCGTTAAACTTTTCAAGCATTTGAGAACAGAAGGTAAAGTTATATTTGAAAGCAAATCACACAATATTCAAAATAAAATACTTAATATTTAAAAATATTAAAGATTCTCCACCATGTCCAAACTCATAACATAGCCTTAAATAGTCTTCAGGATCTTATTGCTCTAAATGGAGACATCATGTGGCCTTAAAGGAAGACGAGGATATATACTACTTAACCCTATAACGCGAGGTATCAAGTACCTGCTCTGAGAAACCAGTGTTTCCTAATATTGAATCAGCTCCTTGTAAAAGGCTTTTACTAAAATTTTGAGCATGACTAAATACATACATATATCGATATTAAAAAAAAAGTTGAATTTATACAGCACCCCTCAGGGTACATCAAAGGGATTTATAATTAATGAAGTGCTTTCAAAGTGTTGTCACTGGTGTAGTAGAACACAGAATACAACACACAGGCAAATGAGCTGGTCACCCTTTTTTCCATTTTTTATTAATTCACAATCTTGCCAGGTCAGCATTTATTGCCCATCCTTACTTGCTCTGGAGGTGGTGTTGGGGAGCTGCCTTCTTGAATACATTTGAGTGGCTTGCTCAGACATCTCAGGCGACAGATAAGAGTCAACTATAGTGCTGTGGGTCTAATGTTACACACATACCAAATTGGGTAACAATTCCTTCAAGAACCATTTGGGTCATCATGGCAATCAAGCAGATTCATGGCAACCATTATTGAAACTAGATTTTATTTCGTTAACAGATATATTAACAGTTAACATATTTAGTTAACAGAAGCTAAATTTCCCAATTGGTGGGATTTGACAAAATTCCAGACCACGAAACAGCCCTGTAGATTGCTCATCTAGTGAAATGATAACTATGCTACAATAGCATACTGATGAATAGTAGGCTACGGATTTATACGTTAAGATATTCAAATTTTAAAAATTCAAAATGTAATTTAAGCACATTTAAGCAGTTATTCCCAACAATGCAGGAAAAAAAACTTGGGACTAAAATCAATTGCTTCGAGTGCTCATGCTCACTTTCATTCAAATGTTTGAAATACAAGACAGTACGCTAGCTTTAGAAGAAAAACAAAAAGACTTTCCATGCACTGGTCCTGCGTGAGAATACAGAGTAGCTTAATCAAAAGGTATAGTTTTGGCTTTTACATTGGTAGCATTTTTGGATAAGTTGAAATCACCCCTTTCTCCTCCAACATGAGTCCTTTTGCTCATCTGGCCCCAGGCCATAGGCAGGGGCTTTCACTTGTTCCTGGCCATAGCCTACTGCATTTTGGAGAGGTTAGCAGAACCCCTTTTTGTTGACTGCTGATATCTTCAGCGCCCACTCATGTCTCTGATCAGTCTCGCTGTTCCTTTTTGCTGGTTGTGGAGCCTTGACAATCATTCTTACTTTGATCAGATTTCATTCCAGGCTTTTACAAGCTACTCGTGCAGCATTTCTAACGTGGTAGTCCATATGCTGCACCTCTTCATGAATAACATAGGACCAAAAGTAGGCCATTCATCCTGTAGAGACTGCTCCATCATTTAATTAGATTATGGCTGATCAATTACTTTAATGCCACTTTCTGCATTATTTCCACATCCCTTGATGTCATTAGCCTCCAGAAATCTGGTGAGTCCTGTCTTAAATTTGCTCAACAGTTGATCTCTGTGGTGCAAAATTCCAAAGAATCCAACATTTTGAGAAATGAAATTCCTCCTCATCTCAGTTTTATTTTGAGATTAAGTCCCGTGGGAGGAGCATCTTATCCTGCCTGATCATCCAATCACATAGACATCAAAGGTTGATTGAGGCTGGTAAGATCATTGCAATATCATTATTTTGTAATCTATCTTCAGCAATATCATAAGTTGTGATCTAAAGATATCCCAGATGGAAAAAAACCTTTTTCTTTACATAATCCACCTGAAAATTCCAAAAACTTTCCTCACTTAGTTTGACAAGGCAGCTTAATCCATCCATCTAACTTTGAACTGGACAACCCCCCTTTTGTAAATTTCTCTCAAATATTACCATTGACTTAAGCCATTTTCTGCCTGACATATACGTCACAACACAAATGTGAATCTACTCTATTTGCGGCCAGTTTCCTTCACCAACATGTTTTTCCCCCAACTGTGCTCACCATTTGACTGGCTGGCATGTCAGAATTCTCAAGGGAGTCTCATCCATATTCAGAACACCAGTTCAATTTATATCCATTCTTTTTACAATGTTTGATGATATCCTGATGAAATATGATAGGCCAGTCTTCAAGTTGGGCTGTGAGATGCTATGAATTCTTGATCTTCTGTTGCAGCATAAAATTGCTTCTCTTCATAAATCTGATAAACTACCCAGAGCTGGCTTTAAAATCTGAGTTGCCTAATTGTCTTGCCTGTTTCAGGAGAAGTTTTGGATATATCCTCAAAAAACTGAAAGTTCATTCTGGCAATTTTCATTTGTATATTTTTCAATTCATGTTCCAATTGCAGCCACTGGCTAGGTTATCCTGTGCAGATTCGTTCTTAAGCAGCTGGAGTTATGCAGAGAATTTCCTCCACTTTCTAACATTCTTTTCACATATTTTGAATTCTCTAGTTTTTCTGCAATTTAATGACATTAAGTTTGAGCTAGGCTATGTATCTACCATTCTTCTTAAAACCATGTTTTCATATTGGAGTGCAGGAATAGAGGGAACACCGTATGTATCAATGAGGTTTGTGGATTTATTGATGTGCTTAGAACACAAGGAACCTTCAAAGGTGCGTTATTTTACAATTTCATCAAACAGAAATGCACTAGGATGAGTTTGACTTCATCAATCAGCAGGGGCTAAGTACAAAGGGTTTGGATCTTTTTAATTAAAAGTCAATTGTCAACTTATATACAAGATATAAGAAAAATAGAACAAAAACAAAATTGCTGGAAAAGCTCAGCAGGTCTGGCAGCATCTGTGAAGGAGAAAACAGAGTTAACGTTTTGGGTCCGGTGACCCTTCCTCAGAAGGGTATAAGAAAATAAGAAAAATACTCAGATAGCAAGAACTACAGATGCAGGAGTCAGAGACAACACAGTGTGCAGCTGGAGCAACACAGCAGGCCAGGCAGCAGAGGAGCAGGGAAGTTGATGTTTCGGGTCGGGACCCTTTTCTGAAGAAGGGACCCAACCCGAAATGTCAACTTTCCTGCTCCTTTGATGCTGCCTGGCCTACTGTGTTCCTCCAGCTCCACAGTGTGCTGTATATGAAAAATTTTTTTTTTTTTTTTTTTAAGATTGAATTTCACACACGAGCCACCATTACCAGAGTATGTGCAGTTTTTAATCATTAAAATATTCATGAGCCCTCACCCTTAAGCAGTAATTATTTTACAGTTACCTATCACAAAATTGGCAAGATCCCAGTTCAGTCCTTTACTTTTTTTAAATTTGAGACTCAAAACAAAATCAATGCAGGTCAAAACGAGTACATTCTGTAGCACAATGTAGTACAAAGGATCTAGTTTAATTTGGATTCACTCTCCAGGCTACATATTTTCACTTGCTCTGTAAAGAACAACAGCCAGTTGATCTTGAACCTTACACTGATCAATCTAAATTCTTGCACAGGAATTTTTCAATGGGGTTAAATCTTTCTGAACAGATATCGTTACCACACTTGATTACCAGGCAAATGGAAATGCTTACCCAATTTATAACAAAAAAACAAATTTCCACCATCTGTTAGGACGTTGGCTGCTCAAACTTAAGGACTTCTCTTTGGCTGCACGTTTCTCTATAGCTGAGAATATCATACAGCTTGGCCAAGAATTAATTAAATTACTTAAAAACATAAGTTTGAACATTAATCTAAAGCTGACATTCTAACTGCAGAATCTCAGATTTGGGAACACAGTTCTCTCTTATACAGACATCAAGAAGATTCAATGCACAAGACATCAAAAAGACAACACCAACAAGATTCCTAATTTAACTATCACACCTTATAAATCTGAACTAATGTGTATAACTAATTGAACACTTTTCCTTTCCCAATTTGTCTTAATTAACAGCTGAATCATCAATATCTGACCAAACCAAACAAGTATTTCACTCCATGATCATTTGTCACAGGTGAATGCTGGTGTACAAAATTAATATTCATTACTAGAAAGTCAATGCTATCATGGAAGCTATTTGTGAAAATTATTTCATAATTCCCATTGATTAGTACAATGGTTATACAGAGATGTTTTCTAAAACAAAAATTATTTTCTATACGAATTTGGATAAAAAAAATGTTTTAAAACCTGTCAAATTTAAGACGTTTCCCCAGGAGATTTGTTCTACCCTTCTGACAGGATATGCTATTCAAAATATATAGGGAAATATCTGGTGAAAATGCAGATCAGTATGAAGTAAAATATACACACATGAACGTCTATAAACAAAATGGGAAAAGAACATACTAAAATTACAAGTATACATAGTTGTAGTGGCATCCTGCTTATGTTTCAGATTTTTGCTCTAGCATTTTTCAGACATCAGTACAAAGCATATTGCATGCAAACATTGAGCAACAAAGGTTTATTTGCCACTGAAGAAACATCATGCTGCTAACCTCAAGAATAACCAAAATTATACTCGTGAATACTGCAACTATGGGGCATCTTGATGAGTTTAAGAAACAAATAATGTTCAACATAGTACTGCAATAAACATTAGGGATCCCTCAAAGAACAATTAATCCATCATTATTTTAAAAATCTGAAGGATACAGGATATTATTAATACAATGTAAACAAATATTAGAACTTAAAATAAATCTGTCATTGGGAATCAAATCAACAAAAGTCACAAACTGGCACTCCAAACTGTCTCATAATAAATTAGACTTACAGGATGATAAATATTGAAAAATCTCTTGCAGGTTGGTAGTTGGTAGCTTTCATCAATCTTCTCCAGCCCACGCACAGTGAGAAACATACCAATAGGAGACCCCAAGGCAAAGAAGTTATCTGGTTTGAAGTCTAGTGTTTGATAAACCACAGACACCTGAGAAATAAATGTAGTATACAAACACAAATGAAATTAAAAACTCACAAATCAATCAGACAATAGGAAAGCTGCTCCAGGATGCGTACGTATAACAGGCAGACCCATGATACACAAGATTTAAGAATTACTTACACTGCCACAGCATGAAATCTGAACATTAGTATCATCAGCAATGCAAGATTTAGTCTTATTATTATTGTTGGTAACAAACAGTTTCAACCTTTAAAAGTAACTGATAGCATTACTTTCCGCTTCTGCTAACACTGAATTTACGTCTCACATGGTCTATGCTGGTATTTATGCCCCACGAGATGTCAAAGTCTATCAGAATATCCTTCTATTGCCTTCTCATGCAATGTCCTTTCCCAACTTCTCCATCAATGTACTTAAGTTATTCATCTAAACTACTTCTTGAAATAGTGAGTTTCAGATTTTCAATGCTAAGTAAAGAAACCGTCAATGAATTTCCTAGAATCACAACAGCACAGGATGCCATTCAGCCCATTATGTTTGCTCCAAGAGTTATTCAGCTGGTCACATTCACCTGCCTTTTCCAACAAGTTTGATCTCTTCAGATGATTAATGAATTCACTTTATAAAGCCATTGTTTAAATTTATTTCTACAACATTCTCAGGCAATAAATTCTAGATTTTCCCCACTTGCTACATATAAAGGTCATTCCTCATCACCACTCCATAAATCAGCTTCTTCTGGTTTGTAAGCCTCCTACCATTTCATATAACAGTTTCTCCTCATCTACTCTTGTCATGATTCTACATTTCAGTTTGCATTTCCCTCCTCTTTCTACTAAAATGTATCATTTTCCCATTTTTAATCAACTGAAAATAGGCAGCTTTCCATCAATAGTTTATCCTGTCAATGTATAATTATTTTTCATTCTAGAATAAACTTAGAATTTTCTTTATTCTTTCACAAGAATGAAGGCATAGCTGGTTTGCCAGCATTTGTAGCCCATCCCTAATTGTTCTGGAGAATGTACTGCTGCAGTCCATATGATGCAAAGAACAGTTATAGTGCTGTCAGGGAGGGATTTTGACCCAGTGACAGCAAAGGAATGGCGATATCATTTTAAATCAGGATGGTGTTTGCCTTGCAGAGGATCTTGGCAGTGGTGCTGTTCAATATATCTGTTGAACTTTGCCCTTCTTGATGGCAGAAGCCATACATTCTGAAGGTGCAGTCAAAGGAGGCTTGATGACTACTGGAGGGTATCTTGTGGATGGCTTGCATCGCAGCCACTATATGTCAGTGGAAGATGGGACACCACTCGGGTTTTTCTATCCTAGAGTATTGTTGGACATGTACGCAGCCACACAAGTGGGGAGCAGTCCATCATCTTCATCTAAGACAAGTGCCTTGCAGATAGTGGACAGGCTTGAATGGTGAGTTATTCACTATGTAAACACAAGCCTCTGGTCTGCTCTTATATCTACAGTATTTATATGGCCAGTTTAATTCAGTTTCTTGCAATGTAAATAATAAATTAATTTCAATAAAGCAAAGTGCAAAGTGCACATTTTGGTAACAAATAAAAATATCATACATGCTTTGTGAACTAACACTGAGTTGGGTAGAGGAGCAACAGAATCAAGAGATATAGACTTACGTATCATTAAAAGCAGAAAATAAGGTTAACAAGACCATGAAAACAAAGCACTTAGGTATACTTCTAGAGGAACAGACTTGATAAAAAACAGAGGTTGCATTCAACTTATACAGGTCCTTTTTATTAAGATGATACTTGGGAATATCCTGCAGTTATGGTTTCCTTACTATGAAAAGGACTTAGAAGCACTAGTGAAAGTAGTGCTAACAACATCTGAACTCAGCAATAATGAATCGTGTAAAAGACTGCAGGGCCCTGGGGCTCTTTTCTTGGGTAAAGCAAAGGTTGAGCAATGACCTAAAAGATGTCTTTTAATATTACAAAAAAATAGTTTTGGTAGAGTTAACATTGAGAAGGTGATTCCATTTGTGGAAGGAGATCATGTTAGATGTCCTAAAGCTAATAAATCCAATTAGAAATTCACGAGAAACTTCTTTCACAGACAGTTGTTAGAACTTGTTAACATATTTCATACACAAAAACACTTTCAATTAAGGCATTAATGACTGCCAATCTAACTCCCAGACAATCACACAATCTTTCATTTGAAGCATGTACTCAGCATGCATTTTTTAAAAATACATTCAAATTCAAGGTTTAAAGTGACATTTACCTGGCCAGCACCTGCTTCAAAATGGTCATAATGTACAGTGACAGATGAAACACTAGTCCCAGCATAAGACAGCATCTTCTTCAAACTCAGCTGTTTTTCTGCAGTTAATGAGTTCATTTGATCAGTTCCATCCTTGGATTTTTGAATTTCTTCTTGCTGAACTTTCTTCAGACCTTCCAGAGCTGCCTTTCTCTCCATTGCAACTTTCTTCTTCGTCTGTAATATGGAAGAAAGAAAGTCATCCCATTTCATGTCAGGCATTTCAACCAAAAAAAAAAAAATCAATATTTCCATACTGACTTTTATCAACCACAATTTTATTACCATATGAGAAAAGTTCATAATTTGAAACAAGTTCATCAATAGAGGAAAGCTCTTCTTAAAAATAAAAGTTAAAATCTGAACAAAAGCCTGGTGAAAACACATTGTATCCCGTAGAACTTGGCTGGTCATTTTGTTGTAGGGAGCGTCCTAGATGCCAACCACCCCGAGTGCAAGAAGTTTTTCCTCAAATCCCCTCTGAATCTCCTGCCTCTCACCTTAAGATTATGTCCTCTTGTTATTGAGCCTCCAATAAGGGGAAGAGTTGCTTTTTATCCACTCTGTCCATGCCCCTCACAATCTCATACACCTCTACCAGGTCCAACCCTCAACCTTTTCTGTTCCAAAGAAAACAACCCAAGCTTATCGAGCCTCTCTTCAAGGTTGAAATGCTCCATCCCAGACAATATTCTCCCTGTCGTGCAGTGACCAGAACTGTACACAGTTTTCCAGCTGCGGCCTAACATAACATTACAGAATACAGCATAACCATTTTCTGGTAATATTAGCACATTATCATCTGCTGCTCCCCACTAACCAGAACTATCATTCAATATGGGGAGTCTGATTCATTTCAAGCAGTTGCTTGGCAGTACAGAGCTTGAATATTTCTGAGAAGTGAGACAGGTTGCCAAGCTTTTCATCATGTGTTCATCAGGACAAATGCAAGAATGCCAAATTTCAAATACTCACAACAATTTAACTACAGGAATAAAGGATTCTGGTCATTTGGTAAGTCAATTATGAAAGGCCAACGAAATGACGTGGCGAAAACTGTAAGCTGCCAAACCCCCAGATATTCAATAAAGAAATGCTTCTTGAAAATATTCCTTTTGTTGTAGAGACCAGATCCCCACACACAAATGCATATCTTATATGCTAAGCTTGATTCTTAATCTGAAATGGAGTTTTAGTGAAGTTATAAGCACACTCAATTGTTCTGCAAGTGATGCCCAATCAAGGAATCACCTATTAGCAGCAGTAAAATTAGATTCAACGACAATTATCATCAGGCTGGGAGACTAACCCCAGTTCAATTGAAAATTGCACAAGGGGATGCCCAGAGTAGCACTAAGCAGACCTAAAAATGAGGTTTCAACCAGGTAAGCAACAACATTCCGGCAATAGTACTGAAGACCTGTATTCCATAAGCAGGTGTGCCCCTAGTCAAACTCTTCCAGCACAGCTACAACAGTGGCATCTACCCAGCAATGTGGAAAATTGCCCAAATTACGTTCTGTCTACTAACAGCAAAATAAATTCAACTCAGCTAATTACTGCCCTAACAGCCTACTCTTAATAATCAGCAACATGATGGACGATATCATGAACAATGTATTTCAATTGTGCTTACTCAATAATAACCTGCTCTTTGACACTTAGTTAGAGTTCCATTTTCAATTACCCATAAACTTAGGAACCTTCAGATCCAATTTACTCTTGCCATGGAAACTACTCACCAGAGTTAACTTCCCAACCAATTAGCTCCCTTGTTTCCTGTACTATATATTGCGATAAATACAAGAATTCCAAATTTCAAAAATGTCCTGATGACTGCAAGATGAAATGCCTTGTCAACACGTCTTGCTTTTCAATAATGTCATTGATTTCCATGGAAATTTAGATTATTTTTAAGAGTAGAATATCAGTATTACATGGATTGAAACTCTACCCCAGAATGCATATAACCAATTGCTTGAAAAATTCTTGCATAAATTATTTATATTTCTATGGACCAGCAATTTGCATTGCAGTATAATCCATACACCCTATTTTAGCAGTTTTTCAATTTGCTATTCAAACAATTGCGTAGAGAGAAAACAAAACTCAATGAATAGACTAGTCTTATCCTAATAGTCTTTTTTTTTGACAAAGACTTTATATGTGAAATTGACATATATAGGATACAAATATCGCACCAACAGCAAAAAAGATAGCGGAAGCAGATTCAACGATACTCGGAAGAAGAATTGGATAAATACTGAATGGAAACACAGTTGTGGGGAAGGAACAGAGCAGTGGAATTAATTGGACAGCTTTGCTGAAGAAATGGAACAAGCAGTGATGGAATAAAATGGCCTTTGGTCTGCATGGTACCAGTTTCTCACAAAATAGACCAGAGCGCTCTTTGGCATGAGATGACTTTTCAAATGCATACCAACTTGATAGAATAACTTCACTAGGAATTAGGAGTGTGTCAAGGTAAAGTCTGCATTCTGAGTCAGCAAAATCAAAATAGTAAAAAATGATTAATGGCTTTGAGTTTGAAGACGTGATGTGGAATGTAATCTTCTGTATCTTGTAATTTCATTATATGCACAACATTTATAGCTATTTTTAAACTAAACAAACGACAATACCTCCCAGTCGCGAACCACTTCAACTTCCCCTCCCACTCCCTGGATGACATGTCCATCTTGGGCCTCCTCCAGTGTCACAATGATGCCACCCGATAACTGGAGGAACAGCACCTCATATTCCACCTTGGAACCCTACAACCCAATGGTGTTAATGTGGACTTTACAAGCTTCAAAATCTCCCCACCCCCGACCTCATCCCAAGACCAGCACTCCCTCTCGCCCCGCCTCCTTGACCTCTCCGTCTTCTCTCCCATCTATCCGCTCCTCCCGCCTCACTGACCAACACCCACCCCGACTTCCTACCTACACTTGCTCCTACTAGCTTCATCCCCGCCTCCTTGACCTGTCCGTCTTCCCTCCTACCTACCCACCCTTCCCTCCTCACTGACCAACTCCCATCCCAACTCCCTACCTACACTCACCAGTCCTAGTTTCATCCCCGCTTCCTTGACCTGTCCATCTTCTCTCCACCTACCTGCTCCACTATCCACCTTCTATCATCACATCTCCCTCTCTCTATTTCAGAGCCCCCTTCCCCTCCCCCATTTCTGAAGAGGGGTCCAGACCCAAAACGTCAGCTTTCCTGTTCCTCTGATGCTGCCTGGCCTGCTGTGTTCATCCAGCTCCACACCTGGTTATCTCAGACTCCAGCATCGGCAGTTCCTATTATCTCGGAGTACAAAATGCAGTTGAGATATATACGATTACTATTGGGTATTCACTCCTCCTGACAGCCAATTAAGGTAACATGGTTAGACATAGCAATGGACATGTGAAGTACTTTTCAGGAACAAGAATACCTGTGCATTTACTCTCTCCTTTACAAAATTGGCTATTTTCTTCCTTGGTCCAAGAGGAATCCCCATTTCCTTCAGGTCATCAACAGTACACATGAGCTAAAAGTGAGCAAATGGAAAATACATCAAACCTAATGCTAAAGGAAGTAAGACATTCGAAACAACATTTTTTTTTCCTCTAAAAGCTTATCTAAAGACTGCAACCGCATTTATATGGACCAAAAATGTATGTTTCCTAGAAAAAAAGTGTAAAATACAACAATGAAGACAGATTTTGTAACACGAAAAAAAAAACAACCGACAAACACCAACACCTTCCAGTTGCGAACCACTTCAACTCTCCCTCCCACTCCCTGGACGACATGTCCATCCTGGGCCTCCTCTAGTATCACAACGACGCTACCCGGAAACTGGAGGAACAGCACCTCATATTCCGCCTTGGGACCCTACAACCCAATGGTCTCAATGTGGACTGTACCAGCTTCAAAATCTCCCCACCCCTGACCAACCCTCCCTCTCATCCCTGCCTCCTTGACCTGTCCGTCTTCTCTCCACTTACCCGCTCCTCCCACCACACTGACCAACCCCCACCATTGTCTACCTGCACTCACCTATCGCCATCCCACCTATCTCTCATCCCCACCTCCTCGACCTGTCCATCTTCTCTCCCACCTATCCGCTCCTCCTGCCTCACTGATCAACCCCCACCATTGCCTACCTGCACTCACTATCACCACCCCACCTAACTTCCCCAGCCCCACCCCTCCTCTCTCTATTTCTTTCAGAGCCCCCTAGTCCTCTCCCATTTCTGAAGAAGGGTCCCGACCCGAAACATCAGCTTTCCGGTTCCTCTGACGCTGCCTGGGCTGCTGTGCTCCTCTAGCTCCATACTGTGTTATCTCTTGCAGATAATATATTCAATGAAAACAGGAATGAGCTCTTTGAAGAGCGCAGTGCAAAAACTTAGTCTTAATACGTTAGGTATTAGTTTACATTACCACAGAGGTCAAGTTGTTTAAAACACGATAGAGGTCAAAAGACAATTTTAACCATATTTTTTTAAAAATTCTTAAAGAAATAACTGAATAGAAACTCCATTTAATATAGCTGGATGGAACCTTTGATGTTAAGCATTTTGAACTGAAGCAAGAAACATTCTTACCAATGACTCCATGTCTATTTCTTCCTTTTCCAGTGTGCTGAGGTACTCAGAAAGACCAACTGATTCCAATGCTTCTGGTAGTGTCAGGATGTCCTCCTCTTGTTCATCTTTCAGTTCATCAGAAACCTCAGGATCCTGGCAATCCTGATTCTCCTGGTAAACAGATACAAGTTCATAAGTAATATCATATAAATATATTACGCAGTTAGATTTCAGCTAAACTTAATCAAAGCTAACACAAATAGGAAAAGCTGTATCTCTCAAAATTCATTAGTAAAACATTAAGCACAGGGGAAGAAATATACTTTGCAATTTTGACATCTTTTTGTTGTTTTATTGTAAGGTTCCAGTAACAGGTTTTCTATTATAATGTTGATTTCTGAAAAGGGAGAATATTTCCATTCAGGGATTGGCAACATCACACATTTTTCAAAAAAAATCAGCTATTTAAACTAGAAAGTAACAAAGATTGCTTCCTTAAACATATTATTATAAAAATATATTACACATTAATACAAAATAGCATATTAATGTGTTATATTAATACAAAATGAAGCAAACCAGCTATATGCATTATTTAGAGTGGCAGTAAAATTAAATCTCACCATTAGGGAGTCAAATCTCTCTGGCTAGACCAGCATTTGCTCCCCAATCCTAATCCCCCTCATGAAGATGGTAGTAAGCCTTTGTCTTGATTTGTTGCAGGCCATGTGGTGTAGGTACACAATATTGTCAAGAAGAGTGTTCTAAGACTTGGACCCAGCATCTCAGAAGGGACAAGGCAATATAGTTCTAAATCACAATGGCGTGTGGTTTGGAGGGGAACTTGAAGGTATAGTTGTTCCCACATTTCCAGTGCCCATATCGTTCTAGATGGTAGAATTCATGGATTTCGAAGGTCATTAATATTAGTAAAAATGTAGATGCGTGTAAAGCAGAGAATACTGGAAAATATCCCATGCATTATACTATCATTGTGTTAATAGTTTGAAGACTAATGGTTGGAAAGCTGAATGGTGTGAGAAAATTGGACACAGGAGTGCTACAGTAATTAATAAAGTTTGACCCGATTAAGAGCAATATTACAAATATTGCCAAGTTGACAAGTTCCCTGAGTCCATACTGAGGAGTTGCACAATTTTGACTTGTTAAATTGTAGTAGACTCTACCAACCTGTGCCTGAAAGTTTGTACAGAAGCTTTACTGTCGTAAACCATCTCAAAGTGCTTAAAGAGATGTGTTTACAGGGGGAAAAAATTGTAAGAAAGAAAGAGGACCAAAAATTGGTGAAATTTGTGGTTTTTAATAAGGGTCTTTAAGGACAAGAATGTGGTGGAAAAAGGTATTTGAGGGGAGACTTTCAGAATACAGTATAGGGTTTAGCTAGGGCTGCAGGAGATTATACAGATAAAATGACTTTTGAGTATTTGACATATGAAGGAGATCATAATTTTTTTGCTAGCTAGGAGAGAGAATTCTGGTGGAAATAAAGTCAAGGAATCAAGAGGTGGGCTTCCAGAATGACAAGACCTTGAAGAGAGCATGAGGGTAGATAAGAAAGAGACAGAAAGATGTGGATGCAGAGCTCGAGCAAGGATAGAGGGGTTGAGTTTTGGTAGGTGGAGGAAGTGGATGAAATGCAGGTGGAGGGATCTGGGAGATCTCTTGAATGAGCTGTTAGTAGTGGAATAAAAGAAATAGGGGAATAGGTTAAACAACTAGGTTGCTTCAAGAAATGGAAGAGATGCAACAACATCAGGTGCCCAAAGGAGGAGACGATATTTATACAGTAGAGAAAAGAGCCTCGAGCTTTGATTTAACAATGAGCCACTTTGCCACTGTGACTTAAATAATGCATGTGATGAAGTGGAGACACTTTGGTGAGGGGTTGAACATCACATCGCTGGAGGGATAAAAATGAGTTTATGCTTCAAACTGATGGCCTATAATCAAAACTGATTAAAGGTTAGAAATCTGAAATGTCGACTCCATTTGTTTCTCACAGATGCTCCCAGACCGGAGTATTTCCAGAATTTTGTGTTTCTTTTTCACATTTCCAGCAACTGCCCTATTTTGCTTTTGTAATCATGAGGGTTAAACCTTTCTTAGCAAGTGAGCAGGCATTCTGCAGTGAAATGTAGAGAAGCACACTGATTGTTAATCTATTAAGGGAGCGGGAAGAGAAATGTGATAGGAAGGAGACCTTTATCTTAAATATTATTTAGAACTATAAATTTGGAAGTGACTATTTGGCTGAAGTAATTTTTTTATGCTTAAAATTTAAAGAACTAGTGAAATGATAGATTTTCAAACAACACAAATGTAGACTTTGACATTTATAAATATCAACCAAGTCTCCAGACTAAGTAAATGGCATGGATTGGCGTATGGACTTTTCGGTTGGTTTATGGAGGATGTTAAACATGGTGAGGTGTTTCCATGCATGTTAACGAATCCAATGCAATGGATTAAAACAAATTTAGCAGACTTAGAATTTACAAATTAAACACATTTAAAGACGTACTCTAAAAGCTAAATGGCTATTTGATTATTTGAAAGGCATGGACAGAGGTGTTTTATTATCCATTCTTTGTTTTTAAAGCCTGAACTGTTCAACTGTCAGCTATAAATGGTATATAAATTTTGGTTCCATGATCTGGATTTAAATTATTATCTCTCAAGTTTAACTATAGTTTACTCACCAGTAACTGTTGCTCTATAACAAAATATCATATTATATTCTCTAATTCATAAAGTTTTCTAAATAACTGACTTGTTTTAAACAGCAAAGCTACATTTTCTTCCTAAAAAGGTTTTATACTTTACAGCTCTTGATTTTCAAATTCAACCATTCCATTTAACAGGTATACTGAGAGATGTGGGAAATCAAGGACAGCTCAAACATTTCTGACAACTACATTTGCGGGAAGTGTGTCCACTTGCAGCTCCTGTCAGACCACGTGGATCAGCCAGAGTGGCAGCTGGGCACACTTAGGAACATGCAGGTGGCAGGAAGTGTCATAGATGGGAGTTTCAGGGACATGGCCACACCCAAAGCTGAAGCAGATAGATGGGTGACCACCAGGAAAGGCAGGCAGTCAGTTCAGGAGACCCTCTGTGATTATTCCCCTCTCAAACATGTAAACCATTTTGGAAACTCTTGGGAGGGATGGTCTATCAGGGGATGGCAAAAGCAATAGCCAGAACAATGGTACCACAGCTGGCTCGGTTGTACAGCAAAGGGGGTCAAAGTGCAGATGAGCAGCGGTAGTTGGGGACTCTATAGCAGAGATAGGCATTTCAGTGGGGGCAAGTGAGATTCCAGGATAGTGTGTTGCCTCCCTGGTGCCAGGGTCAAGAGTGCCTCCATGTGGCACAGGATATTCTTAAAGGGGAGAATGAACAGCCAGATGTCATGGTCCAAATTAGAACCGATGACATAGGCAGGAAGGGTAATGAGGTCCTGCAAAAGGAATTTAGGGAGTTCGGCAGAAAGTTAAAAAGCAGGACCTCTAGGTTTGTAATCCTGATATTACTCCCTGTGTCATGTGCTAGTGAAGCCAGAAGTGGGAAGATAGTACAGCTGAATATGTGGCTGAACAGCTGGTGTAACAGAGAGGGATTCAGATATCTGGATCATTGGAATCTCTTCCACATCAGGTGCAACCTGGACAAAAAGGACAGGTTACAGCTAAACTGGAGGGGCACCAATATTGTTGCAGGGAGGTTTGCTAGTGTCACTTAGGAGGGTTTACACTGGCATGGCAGGGGAGTGGGAACAGGAGCAGCAGTGAGAAGAAGGTAGAAATTAATAGGATGATCAAGTAGGGCCAGGTTAATGTACAAGGCAGGACAATAAGAAGTGTATTGAGTAAGAAAGGAGGGAAAAATAATAATAAAAAGATGCTGAAGGACAGCCAAAATTACAATTCTTTATACAAATGCACTGAGTGCAAAGAACAAATTAAAGGAGCTGCAGACACATTCAAATTGGAAGCTATGATATTATAGCCATTATGAAGATATAGTTGCAGGTCAGTCAGGACTGGGAACAAAAGTACCATGTTTAAGGTTTACAGGTGGCATAGTGTTAACTGCAGAAAAGGTGGAGTAGCATTCTTGATTAGAACCAGAATCATTTCTACGGCGAGGGAGAATACAATGAGAGGAAAGCACCCAGTGGAGACGGTATGGGTGGAAACGAGGAACTGTAAAGTAACTAAAACCAGAATAAATGTCATCTACAGACCACCTGGTAGCATCTTGGAAGTGCTAGATTCTTTAAATGCTGAAATTAGGTAACAATGTAGAAACGGCAGAGTAGTATTAATGAGGGATTTTAATCTTAACAGAGTGGGAGAGACAGACAAGCACCTGGCAGAAAGGCTATGAATTTCTAAAGCATGTCCAGGATAGTTTCTTACAGCAATACGTTTTGGATGCAAAAGCAGATAAGCAATATTGGACCTAGTAATGAGCAATGAGCCTGATCTAATTAGTGACCTAATTGTTCGTAAGCATTTGTCAAATAGTGATCACAACATGATCCAGCTTCATCAAGCATTTGTAAGAGATAAGCAAAGATCGAGATATTAGAATTTTGGATTTAAGTAAGGCAGATTTTAATGGGATAAGGCAGAGACTGCCCACAGTAAACTGAGAAGATCTGCTAATAGCTAAAACAACCAAGGAACAGTGGAGATTGCTCAAAGTAGCATTTAATACTCTTCAGAAGTAGTTTGTACCCATGAGAAGGAAAAGCTCCACCTCACAAAACAAAACAGCCATGGACATGGTAAGGGACAACATAAAATTAAAAGAAACGGCTCATAAAAGTGCAAAAATCCCAGATTAGGACAAACACAAAGACGAACAAAAGGCCACAAAGCGGCTTACAAGAGCGCCTAAAAGGATTATTTGCAAGGAAACTTGCAAGGAGACTTAAAGACAATAAGAGGAGATTTTATATTTTTATAAAGGGAAAGCAGCAGGTTAAAAGTACTGGTCCAGCAAAGGCTGAGGGTGGGAATACTGTCAATGTCCAAGGGGAAATGGCAGACATGCTGAATAATTATTTTGCATCAGTACTTGCAGCAGAAAAGGAAGATAGTTTGCCAGGAGTCCCGCAGAAATTTACAGAGGATCAGGGACAGGGTCTGAATAAAATTTGTTCAAGTAAATCATCAAGAATGAGAAAATTAATGGAATGAAGAGTAACAAATCCTTAAGACCTGATGGTTTCCATCCACGGATTAAAGGAGATAGGACAGCGCAATGCCAATGCTCTGATCATAATCATTCAGAGTTCCCTTGATTCAAGGGTTGTAGTTGTGGATTAGAAATTTACTCATGTCACTCCACTCTTCAAAAACTGAGACAGAAGGAAACCATGGAATTACAACCAGTTAGCCTAACATCGGAGTTAATCAGAGACAGTCAACATGGATTCATGAAGGGTAGGTCATGACTGGAAAACCTCAGCTTTTTGAAGAGGTGACAAAAGTGCTAAGTCGATGGATATTGTTTATACAGACTTCCAGAAGGCTTTTGATAAAGTCCCAAATAAGAAACTGTTATTTGGTAGAATCCATTGGAATTGAGTCTAAGTTACTAACATGAATAGGAAATTGGTGGAGTGGCAGGAAACAGACAGTTGGAATAATAGGCAAGTACTCAACTTGGCAGGACATGACTAGAGGTACCCCACAGGGGTGTGTTGGGGCCTCAATTATTCACAATATTAATGACTTGCATAACGGTGTAAAAAGTCACATGTCCAAATTTGCTGACAACACAAAATTGAGCAGATTGTAGACAATGTTGACAACAGCTCAGGGTTCAAGTCTTGCCTGCTACAGAGATATGCAAAGCCATCGCTGAATAGGTTGATTAGAAAATATCTAAAATTTCAACAGGATGTTGATAAACTAGGTAAATGGCGAAAGCTGTGGCAGATGGATTTTAATATAAGCAGGTATGAGGTTATCCATTTTGGACCGAGAAAGGATAGATCAGGGTATGTTTTAGAAAGCACAAAGTTAAATACAGTGGATGTCCAATGAGATTTGAAGGTTCAGGAGCACGGCTCTTTAAAATATCACAAACAGCTGCAGAAAATAATCAAGGCGGCTCAGGAGTGCTGGCCTTCACATCTAAAAGGGCTGGAGTACAGGAGCCAGGGCCGAGTCCCGAAGCGAGTCATGGCTGGACCCTGCAGCAGGAGCAGAGGGGTTGCGGGCCAGAGCGGGAACAAAGCAAGCCCAGGCTGGCCAGAGGGACAAGTCCTGGAGGCAAGTCCAGGACATAGTGTGGAGGCAGCAAGGCCTTGTGTTCTGAAGCCCGGTGAACACGGACTCTGTGGAAAAGGACTATAACTGGAGTACTTTAAAGATACGTTTCATTATCATTCTGGACTTTTTAAACTCTGTATTGTCTTGCTAGTCTATTTTTTTCTATTTCAATGCTGTAACAACACTTAAAGGACAGGTATTTCTGCTATTACATGTGTTTCATTAATGCAAATTGGCTGTAACACGATTGATGAATAGTGGACTTTATTTGGATAATGCAAACTTTCTGCTGTACAGGTATAGCGATTTCCCTATAACGCAATTTTCTATGGCTATTTTCTATAGCCCGAGGTCACAGAAGAACGCAACTATTGCACTATAGGAGAAATACCTGTACCTGTACCTAGGTACCCTGTACCTAAGATGGCGCCAAGAGGTGCCATTACAAACTTTTCACTGCACTCATTCGAGTGCACTTAACAATAAAGGCTTTTCTATTCCATACAGATGTTATGCTGCAATTAAACATAACACTACTTGGAGTACTATGAGCAGATCTGGGCACCACACTTTTAGGAACGGTGTTTTGGCCCTGTAGGGAGTTTAACACAGGTGTACAAGGATAATACGTGAACTTCAGTGGTTAAGATATGACAAAAGATTAGACAAATTAGGCCTCTTTTCTCTAGAATTTAGAAGGCTCAGGGGTGAACAAATTGAACTAGATAAAGAAAAACTATTTCCCCTGGTTGAAGGTTCTGGAACTGGGGGGTGGGGGGCACAGTCTAGGAATTAGAGCCAAGCCATTCAGGAGAGATATTAGAGAGCACTTCCACATGCAAACAGTAGTGTAGGTTTGGAACTCTCTTCTTGAAATGACACTCCATACTAATTCAACTGTTAGATTTAAATCCGAGAGAGAAATTTTTATTAAGGGCATTAAGGATATGGGTCCAAGGCAGGTATATGTAGTTAGGACACAGATCCACCATGTTATTACTGAAAGGCAGACTAGGCTTGTGGGGCTGAATGGCTGACTCCTGTTCCTATGTTTCTAAAAATAGTATCTCTGAAGTTAGTAGTAACCACTGTTAACAGCTATTGTCTAAGAGAAATTATTAGCCATCCTTCTCTGAAAAAAAGAATTGATTCCTATTTAACATGTGATACCTTTTCTTTGTCCTCGCAATGCTCTTTTCACCTTCAAAATGCAGAAAAGATCAAAAAGCCTTTCCTTGGGTCTTACAGAAAGGAAGGAGCATCTTTATGTTAGGAATGAAAGGTTGCCAATGATCACTCTTAATGATCACTCCAAAAGCAGTGAAGACTCATACTGAAACAATGAAAAATCTTCACTGGTATTAGCTGCCTTTCAAATAAACCTGTGCAAACCCACTTTATATCTTTTTAAAATATTCATAGCAAGACTTAGTTATTAGACATCACATTGAAACTGCTAGTTTGGGATTTTGTCCCTATAAAACTCTTCACAGATTTGACACATCTGTTCAATAATTATTAATTCTTTGAATATTACTGTACCTGAGCCTCATCCGGGATTATAGGGTCTTTCACAGTCCCATTTGATGCCAAAAGAGTGGGATTACCAGGGGAAGAGGAGCCTGTCTGATTGGCCAACAAATCAAAAAGGATCAGAGAACCTACGGATAAATTAAAAGTGATGTACATTTATTTTTCAGAACACTCTTGGAGGCACTTTCTTTTAGAAAAGAGTGAGGAACCATCCCAAATCTTTTACAAGTGAAAATCAATTAAACTTGGCTAGTTTTAAGACTAGCTGTATTTATTATTCTTTACTATGTAAAAATCACTGGATTATTTACACTCAGAGGTATAATGTGCATTCTTTGCAGCACTCCACTATAGTGGGAATTTTAACTTTACTTAATCTAATTGCATGGCTCAAACAATTAACCCTTTAATGCCACTACATTATCTGAACCATTAAACTGGATTACTACCTTATAATGCACTTCCGTACATAAATTGTTCTTTAAGGTTTATGATCATTTCCTACTTGTAGTCTATCATATCCTCTGCTAATAAATATAAATAGAATACCTACAGAGCGAAAGCAGGCCATTCGGCCTGACAAGTCCACACCAACTCTCCAAAGAGCATCCCACCCAGATTCACCCACCCCACCCTATTCCTGTAACCCTGCATTTCCCATGGCTAATCCACCTAACCTACGCATCCGTGGACACCCTGGATAATTTAGCACATCTTTGGACTGTGGGAGGAAACTGGAGCACATGGAGGAAACCCACGCAGACGCAGGGAGAACGTGCAAACTCCACTCGCACAGTCACCCGGAGGCCAGAATTGAACCCGGGTTTCCCTGCCGCTGTGACGCAGCAGTGCTAACCAATGAGCCACCAATGAAAACAAAATAAATTGTACAAGAACAGTGTTGCCATTTTGTCAATCAATTCTACTTCTTGCAATACACAGCAAGAATTTGCCTTTGGGTCTTTGGAATTCAACATCTCAAATTAATGAAAAAGTACCTCAAAGTCTACAGTATAATCTAAGCATCCACACAACAGTAAAACTGTGAGATGACTTAAAGTACATCTTTTAGTTTTTAAAGGTATGTAAACAATATCATAAGCAGAATGCAAGTAAAGCACAAAGTGCATTTAATTGCATCAATGAGTGAACTCAAACAGAAACACTATATTAGTGATTAAGGAATTTAGGGACACTAAACTGTCATAGCTATTGACTGTTGGTGCAAAAGGCAAAGGGCTGTATTGCCTTCGTTTCCCTAATCCATTTACCATTAATCTGCTTCCAAAGGTTCTCTAGTTACATATAAAGAATCATTCCGCATGAAACATGGTACCAAAGTTAAACTTCTAAACACATTTAGATGCTTGACTTTCAATACAAAATAGAATTTGCAGTGAACTGCAGAAATATTTGTAAAGAATTGACCATTGTGCAATGATGGCCACAGAGATGTCTATTGAGGCAATAAATCAAGCTGGAAAGCAAAACAAAATTCAAGATTAAGTTCAAATGAAAACATATTTCAAATCAAAGTTCTCAAAGATCTACAGTGTACTTAATGTCATATTTATGTATCAAAATAAATTACACTGATGGTCATTACGAGTTACCAATTTCTTCTTTGTACCAATTTCTTCCTTATGCATTTAGCACTTTGCAACTAACAACGTGCTGGGAAATTTGCAGCAGACTGCTAAAGGTGCTGAGGAAAATCCACCGTCTCAGATCAACAGAGCACCCAAACAAGCACTAGCAGAAGCCAGGCCCACTCTCAGATTCAAACTAAGGGGAAGAGACAGAGCGAGAAAAGGGGACCAAGCGAGACACAAAGAGGGGAGCGAGCGAGACAGAAACAGAGCGACAGCAACAGACAAAAAGAGAGAGAGGGGGACCGTGATGGGAGACAGACAGAAAAAAAAGGGAGGGAAGCAAGAGGGAGACAGAAAAAGGGGCAGAGAGAGACAGAGAGAAAGGGGGACAAAGAGACAGACAGACAGACAATAAAAGAAAGAAAGTGAGAGAGAAAAAGGGGGATTGAAAACAGGGAAAAAAAAGAGATGGAACATAGGAAAGAGATGGAGGAAGAATGCTGGATGCAGGGGACAATGAAATAGGGCAGAAGACAGACAGAGGGGTGACAGACAGGCAGACAAATTATGAAAAAGAGGGGTAGGGTAAACGTGATGCCACAAAGCTACCCTTTCAAGTGTTTCAAAATCCTCTTGAAAAGCTCACGCACATTATGCACTTCCAAGACCCACAACAACGGTGGCCTCTCACAAATTCTCATGACATAACAAGTAAAATATTAAGCAAAATTCTATAGGTAATTTAGCCTCAACCTTTCTGAGGCATACTGTCCCCAAATCATCATCACCACTTCAGGAGATAAACTGAGGCCACAACACACAGGTTAAGTTTTTTCATGAGAAGTATAGTAGTGATTTAAGTAACCTATCCCATACTCAAAACTACATGCAAGCAATTCTACATGAGACTAATTAATTATTCAAATATCAACACTTATTACCGAGACCGTGTCCTGCAAGGGAGACTCCTCCTTTGAAATTAGGATTTCGACTCAAGAAGAGAGCATATAGTCGATTGATTTCTGCAGCTGCTTTATCCACAATAGTCTGACAGTAAGCAGGGCTGTTGTAGAAGAATATATCCAATAATGTCTCATTGGTAAAGTGACGCAAGCGGCCTATACTCGGTAATGTGATTTTCTTCATACGCCTGACGTAAGAAGAACAGGAAAATAAATCAATTAAAGTCACATGGGTAAAGAGTAATATTCCATAATTTAACTCTGAGTCAAAACTGAAACCAGAGCAAAGTTTTGATCTAATTTATTTCTAAACAGTATCACATGGAAATTACAGAACAGGAGCAGGCCATTTAACAAGTATTTATGCTCTACATAGGTATCCCCCAGTACCATTTACTGCATTAAATGAATGTAGTCTTTCAGTTTCTACTGCCTGCTGTAATTAAGTAATACTTTTTGAGCATTCATGGACGACATTTTGTTGTAGAAATAAAGCTGAGGCAATCAGTTCTCAGCATAATGACGAGATAAATCATATGGCATCTTTCAGTATCCAAACGTTCACTGCTAAAGACTGAAATCAAGACTTTACTGTCCAGGGTGCCTTATTTCTCTACAAGCTTCACTCCATAAGACCAAAAGACACAGGAGCAGAATTAGGCCATTCAGCCCATCAAGTCTGCTCCACCATTCAATGTTTCTCAACCTTGTTCTCCTGCTTTCTTCCTGTAACGCTTGATCCCCTTACTGATCAAGAACCTATCTATCTATCTATCTATCTCTGTCTGTAATACAGTCAATGGCGGCGTCCATAGCCCTCTGCGGCAATGAGGTTCCACAGATTCACCACCCTCTGGCTAAAGAAATGCCTCCTCACCTCAGTTCTAAAGGGTCATCCCTTCACTGACGTTGTGCCCTCAGGTCCTAGTCTCTCCTACTAGTGGAAAAAATTTTCTCAACCTCCAATCTAACCAGATCCCTCGGTATTCAGTAAATTTCAATGAGATCACCCTTCATCCTTCTAAACTCTATTGAGTACAGACCCAGAATCCACAACCTCCCCTCATTCCCAAGATCATTCTTGTAAACCTCCTCTGGACCTTCTCCAACGCCAGCACATTCTTCCTTAGATACTGAGCCCAAAACTGCTCACAATATTTCAAATGCAGTCTGACTACAGCTTCACACAGCCTCAGCAGTACATCACTGCTCTTGTATTCTAGCCCTCTTGAACTTAATGCTAACATTACATTTGCTTTCCTAACTGCCAAATGAGCCTGTGTTAACCTTAAGAGAATCCTGAACTGGCAGTGTCAAGTCTCTTTGTGCTTCACATTTCTGAAGCCTTTCCCTGTTTAGAAAATAGTCTATATCTCTATGTATTATTAGAAGCATTTAACAGTCAAATGCATCAAAGGGCCCAAGAAATTGATTAAATTAATGTCTAACAGTATGATCATTCTTAGTTACCTCCAAATGACATCTCTGGTACTGAATGAAACATTTCTTCTGACAGCGCAAATTCAAAAATTGCCAAATTTACTATAAATACACCCAGATAATAAACCAAAATAATGAAATAAAATTAACTGATAGATCTTTTCTTATTAAAACCTGATAAAGGTAACGTATTAGTTGACCATTATGCTAAATGGTAAAACTATTTTGATCTTATGTTATAACCCATGGAGTAGTGGAACGAGAATGATGTATGCCACCAGGCTCGGTCATAAAAAATTTAATTGGTTTAAGGAAACACACAGTTGCTTGCCTCGCTAATACATTTCTTTGATCTCTCTTAGAGAATGCCACATTGATTTATATTTATAAGTACAGCAGATTCCAGTGTAAAAACCCAGATGGTCTGTGGCCAAGCTTAATGCATGGCTAGTATTGTTTGTTGATCTCCGACTAAAATTCTAGGCCCTTTTACATTACTGTATTTATTCAAATAATTCAATAAGCTTGATTGAACATGATCTTCCCTTCTGAAATCCATGCTGACATTTTTAAAATTATCCTGTACATTTATATTGCAATGAGTATGGGCTTTGAGAGGGGATGGGTGTCTCAGGTATCCCTGAAACTCAAACATTAGTCTGCCAGGGCACTGGAAGGGAGTGCAGCAAAATGCTGTGGTTCACCTCGTAAGTGGCAATTTGCATTCAACTGGAAGAAAAATTCATTTGGAGTGTGATGATATTATGGTTTTAAGAGGTGTGTTTTGTCCTGGTTTCTCTTAGAGAAAGACTGGGAGACAGGTGGCGAGCAGTCTATAATAAGATAAACAACTTGTGAGATCTTGGGTTTTTTTTTATTAAAACGTTGGAACAATAGAAGCAGCCTGAAGGGGTGTGGTCAAATTCCCACAGCACCAGGACCTTTAGTTCAGCTTTCAGTAGTTGCTGTGGGGGTCTGGAAGAAATGAAAGCTATTTTTTGTCCCTTTCTCTCAGTTACAGCCAAAAAGCTGGGGCCTCTCTGCCTGGTACGGGAGTTGCATGTGAGGCAATCTGTTCTGAATTTGCCTTTTGGCAAGGGTGTGTTTATGGGATCTTACTATATTGGAACAGTTAATTAGTAATAGACACAGTAACTATTATTCTGTTAAGTTTTCCAATAGAGTTAAGTTATTCCAGTTCCTTCCTTCTTTTGTTGTATTTTAACTGTAATGGATGAATAAAGGGTGAAATGCAACACCTTACATTTACCTTTAAAATAATAAGTAGTTAGGGTCCAGAATATCTTCTGAACATTTTGAGGGGGTTTGGTCTGGTCCATAACAGGAGTTAAAACAGGATTGAAAGGTTCCCCTAGTCTGTGCCAGAGGAAGAATCTCCAGGGCAAAGACAATCTTACTGTGTAAGAGTTCTGACATTAAAAGTTCCCAGACTAAGGAAACGAACAGAGGTAAATCCTTGGAAACTAAGAATCAGATTGGAGCAGTCCCAGAAGAAGTCACTGTTTGCTTAAGGAACAGTGTAAAGTGTTTTTATAAAGTGTGTTTTTGGTTACGCTAATAAAAAGGAATGTTCTGTTGTGTGGTTTGTGTTATGTACATAGTTGGGTTTGTTTTGCCCCTTTGAGAGAGCAGGTCAGCTGACCCAGAGCGAGAGCTAGGGGAGGCTGTCTGGGAACCGATTGTGGAGCTCAGAGGATCCATAATAAAGTATTCCCTGTTCAAGTCTACCCTCCATCTACCTCATGTTCTATTTATGGTTCCAGTGAACCACAAACATAATTTCACGGGACAGTTGAGGGGCAGATATTACTAGTGGTCATGAGTGCCCACTCCAAGTGGCCAGAGATGGCGGCCGTGAAGTCAGTATCAGCGGAAGCAACGACAGACCGACTGGATGAAATATTTCCCTGGTTTAGGAAGCCCAAACAAGTTATGAGTGACAATGGTCCACTTTTTGTGGTGCAATAGTTCGAGGAGTACCTGGAAAATCATGGAGTCAGATTTGGGAGATCATCTCCATATTACCCAGTAACAATCAGGTGGAGAGATTTGTGCAAACCCTGGAACAGGCCTGAAAGGCCTCACAAGGGGAGGGTGAACTAGCATAGCAATTCGACAAGTTCCTCAGCATGTATAGAAACACACTACACGTGACAAGCCAGTGCTTGCCAGCATTCTTAATGTTCAATCACCAGCTGAGAACCACGTGTAACTTACTGTGGCCAGAAGAGACCAGAGAGGTAATACAGTGAAATCAAGAAGGACAGAAGGTTAGAAGGGGAGGAACCTCACGGTTGAGATTATTCCTAAGAGGACAGACTGTGCTGGTCCAGAATTATACATCAGGGGAAAAGTGGATGCCAGCAGAGGGGGTGGCGGCTCAATGCTGTTGTATATGGTGTAGACTAGGGATGAACTGGTCCTGAGGAGTCATAGAGACCAGCTGGTCGCTGCACCTCACCTAGGGCGGGGGGGAATGTCCGTCGGAATACTGAGCTGGTCCAGATGGGACCAATGGTGTCAACCACGTCACGTGTCTCCAAACCAGGCAAATATTTCATCCAGGCGGTCTGTCGTTGCTTTCACTGGTACCGACTTCACGACTGCCATCTCTGGCCACTTGGAGTGAGCACTCATGACCACTAGTAACATCTGTCCCTCTAGTGACCCAGAGAAATGACAACATCAGTGTCACGGGGTAACAACAGTCAGAGAGGGATGTACCTGTCGAACAACAGGAGCTTCCAGAAGCCCAGGGGACTATGCTAGAAAAGGCTCCTGAGGTGAGATGATGATCTTCTAGGATTCACCATCCCCTTTACAAACTGATCATATCAATGTAGAGTACAGACGGGTCGTTTTCCCATTTTTTAAATACAATACTCCTTACGATGTACATATGTTAGCTGAAATGCCGGCATAATAATTGTTCGATGTATATATATTAAGGGCAGTATTGAACTAAAGGGAGAGGGGTGTTATGTATGTTGTTGGGGGCAGTGTTGTCCCTTTAAGAGAGCGGGTCAGATGACCCAGAGGCAGGAGCTAGAGGGTAAGTCTAAAACCAAATGTGGAACTGAGAGGGCCCACAATAAACTATTACTTGTTCAAGTTTACCCTCCATCTACCTTGTATTCTATTTTTAGTTGCAGCACACCACAAACTTAATAGTGTAAAGTACAAATTGCTGAGAAAGATGGCATTTAATCGTTGATGATTTCGGCCTCCTGTTGCGGTAAAATACTTAAATGAAATCTTCTTGTGCCGCTCTTTTAGTCATCATTGTAACTTGAAATTTCTATTTTTTTGGAACACATTTTCAGTCTCTGTGCAGATTGTAGCATAGGTGTTACTTGTGGGATAAATATTGATTTCGACACATTAATGGTCATCACATTACAGGAAGGATGTGGAGGTTTCGGAGAGGGTGCAGATGAAGTTTTACCAGGTTGCTGCCTGGATTAGAGGGTATGAGCTATAAAAGGAGAAGCTAGAAAAACTCAGATTGTTTTCTCTGGAGCGGCAGAGGCTGAGGGGAGACTTGTTGGAAGTCTATAAAATTATGAGATGCATAGATGGGGTTGACAATCAGAATCCCGCCCCCCACACCGAGTTGAAATATCTAATACTAGGGGGCATGCATTTAAGGTGAGAGGGGGAAAATTCAAAGGAGACATGAGGGGCAAATTTTTTCACACACAGTGGGGAGGCAGATAAGATAGGGGCATTTAAGGGACTTTTAGATAGGCACATGAATATGCAAGAAATGGAGGGATATGGGCCAAAGGCAGGCAGAAGGGATTAGATTAATTTGGCACGATGTTCGACACAACACCGATCCTGTGCTGTACAGCTTTACATTATATGACACAGAGGTAACTCTGCGACTTTTTTTCAAATTGTATTGTGTAACGTGAGATGTCGATCTGAAAAAGCAGTCAGAGCCTTGGTTTACCATCTCAACTCACTTTGTAGCACTCCTTCAATACAGCACTAGAGTTCCAAACTTGGCTGTTGCACTCAAATGGAAATTAAACCCACAAGCTTCTGACTCAGATGTAAGCATTCTACCAACTGTACCACAGCTGACACAATTTAGTGAAGTAACACTGGACAGTTAAACCATTTTAAACCAATTTTTCTCAAATTGTAAACAATGCTTGTTAACATTCAAAGGCATCAGAATTGGACGGGCAGACTTTGAAAAAGGAAAATTATGTAATTCTTAAACTACAAGTGACGAGAGGCATGAAAATGAGTTTAAAAGGTTTTGATAAAAAGATCTAAGTTTCTGACAGTCACAAACTGTTCACAGGATAGGAGAAACTGCAATCCTTTGTTCTTTTGCATGTTGAGCCCCATAGATCAGTGATATTTAAGTTTAGAATGAGAAGTGCTATTACAAATATATCCAGGATCATTGAAATTTATGATGCCAGCTATCAAATATTTAAGAGCAATACAGACATTGTCACTGAATACAATTATGAAATAGGTGCATTGAGTCTCTTATTTGTCAAGAATCTGAGATCATTTTGGGTAGGTGGAAATGTAGATTTGAGATCAAATCAGATCAGATCAGATCACTGCATAGTGGACCAAGCTTGAGGAGGTGAATACTCTACACCTGCTCCTAATATTTATGTTCATATATTTATGAAACTTATCCGCCAGGAATTAAATGAGTGCTATAGTATCTTAGAGTGTAGACATAACTGAGCAGTGGATGATTTCTTTGCTCTCACCAATCACTATTTTACGTTTAAGTCTTTAACTGGATTGGCCTATGATCAGAAATCCCCAAAGCTATAAATTTCATTTTAGATTATTAACTTTCTTTAATATATTAAAAATGGTCTTGTACAAGATACACACATGCATTCGGTTAGTGGCAACAGCTTTAAAATTCAATCTATACACTGACATTTTGTCCTAACAGAAATGGAAGAACATACCTGTCTACTCCAGTAGCATCTCCATGAAGGGCACTGTGCCAGTGAACAGGGAGGAATTCGATTCTTGAGATTTTTTTCTCATCTACTGCTTTTTTAAAGTGTGTGCGTAATAGTTTCAAAGAAACATTTCTGAAGTCATCAACTGCAAAACAGAGTGCAAAATCCTGGATTTTTAAATGACTACATCAGAATATGTGCAATTAGACTCCCAAATAAAAAAACACCACTGAAGGCAAAATACTGGAAATCTGAAACAAACATCAAAAATCGTTAGAGAAACCCAGCAGCTCTGGCAGCATCTGTGGAGAGGGAAAGAGGGCTAATGTTTAAAGTCCAGGATGACTCTTTTTCAGAACTGGTTCTGCACAACAGCCATACCAGACGCAAAACATAACTCTGTTTCGCTCTCCACAGATGCTGCCAGACCTGCTGAGTTTCTCCAGCACTCTGTTTCTTTAACCAACGCATATTCTAATTAAAAATCTTTAAAGGAAAGATAATTATATCTTAGAACAAAGAATGAGAATGGGACAAGAAATCAGGATTTATTTAGAGGCAGAATATTTCATTCAGCATGGTACATCATGGATAAAAACCAAAAGAACTGCGGATGCTGTAAATCAGGTACAAAAACAGAAGTTGCTGGAAAAGTTCAGCAGGTCTGGCAGCATCTGTGAAGAGAAAATCATAGTTAATGTTTTGGGTTCAGGTTCTGAGGAAGGGTCACCGGACCCGAAATGTTAACTCTGATTTTCTCTTCACAGATACTGCCAGACCTGCTGAGCTTTTAAAACAACTGTGTTTTTGTTCCGGTACATCATGGACAATTGTGCTCAATGTTGTGTAGGAGCTCACAATTTTCTTTCATTGCAACAACTCTGCACAGAACGATGTCATCAAGTTATTACAACAGGGAAGAGTCATTCAGTCCATTAATCCCTGACAGCTCTCTGTATAACAATCCAGTCAGTTGCATTTTCCCCACTCTCACCCATAGGCCTGAAACTTAAATTCCTTTCCAAATCACGCATTGTCTCTTTAACTTCCACACACACAGGCAGTAAGGTTCATCCAGGTACCATTCAATGCAAAAAAAAATTCTCTTTCTTACACGAAACTTTAAAATCTATATCCAAAAATTCTTGTACCAATGTTAATGGAAACAGCTTCTCTTTCTGCAACTTATCAAAGCCAATCAAGCTTGTGCACCTCTCTCAAATCTCACCTAGATTTTCTTTGCTCAAAAGAGAACTCAAAAGAGAACTCAAAATTCCCCAAACTAACCCTGAAATCAAAATTCTTCACCATTAAAGTCTTAAAAGGATGAAGAAAATTTATGCTCAAAAAGAAATTCAAAACTACCAAATAAACCAAATGCTTTAAATCAAATGTTTTTCATAGAAAACACAGGACATTTCAGTACTTTCCTTTCCAAAAAAGTACTCTGCTGCATGAGAAAGAGAGACAAGCGATTCAGTACAATGGCTCAAAAATTCCAACTTTGATTGGATAAAATATTGCAGACTTACTTTTTGGTCAGTTCTGTTCTGTATTTTTCTGGACAGGAGCTTTTTGGAATGAAAACAACGGATACCAATCCAAAAAGCATCGTAGCCAACAGCGGAGTTTGGCCCAATTGGAAATCACACTCCTTTTTCAGAAGTGAGCGTACTGTATTCTTTAATTTAAATATCAAGCAACCACTTTGACAGCTACTGTGAACCAAGGTCAAGTACATAGGCAAGTAAGGGGGCAGGGCCAGGTGGTTCGGGGTATAGGGTGCAAGGTCATTGGTGAATTGGTTTATTGGCTACCCAGGAGTTAGAATAGGCTTTTAAATGTCTAAACATTCCTGAATAACTATTAAGCCTAAATGAGTCAGAACCCACTGAATTCTCTAACTCTAAGGCACATTTTCAGAGGGTTCTGACAAATGTCAAGTACCACAAGGAAATTTCAACTTGCCAGGCAATTCCCATGGAATCAGCTATGTCAGTGTTTCCAAGTGGTCCCAACACACAACTCCAGTCTACCCTGGAAGCAATTATTGCACCATTGGAATTTCTAGGCCAATGTTGTTCACATCCTGTTAGGTACTATTACCTGATGAAGTCTGAGCCCTTCTTTAACCAATAGTGACATCTTGTGGCATAGGACTATCTTTTTGACAAAACAAACTTAAATAAATGAAAAAAATTAGATTAAATCAGCACTGTTAACTTCACAATATGGTTTATAACTATCATGTTATTCACTCGGGTTTACTTCTGATAAGAGAATTCTTGAGGGATGCAAGACACATTTCAATCTTAAGAATTATTTACTTGTATAGGTTTACTGCTGACCACCCATAAGTTTGTCAGTCACCTGGAGAATTCTGTTCAGCTCCAGCTATTCTCAGGGGTAAAATCTGTTTTCAGTATCTCTTGACAATGGGATGTCCCAGTCTTTGTTCTGGTTACTTCTGCAAAACATCCAAGCTAAACTGCTTGTTGTCCTCATTGCCACAGACTTTGTGAAGGACTGTAGATTCCTCCCATACTTTCAAACTAAATGCTCTTCAACTGAAACCTGAGAACCATGCTAAATTCCACCAGCTCCATGAAGACATAACCAGTCTGGTCTATCCTCAAATTGAGCTTTAAGTTAATTACTTGTCATTGATAATAGTTTAATTTGATAAACTAAAAATGAGTTTTAAAACTGTTCAGGGTTCACTGAGTGATAAGGCAATTTAACTGAGTTGTCCAAAGCAAACATCTTTTTGGATTTTCATTATAACGAGGAGCGCAAATATCATGTATTCTCGCTCTTCACCGAAGTTAGCCACCTGCTGGTTGATTCAAGCTCCTCAATTCATACTGTAATAACCAATAAAGGGACAGCTTTTGAACTGCCATTTCTCTGAGTTCTAGTAATCTCTTAAAGTCCAATGATTTAAAAAAAATATCTTTCCACCTGTTGTGTTAACTGCCTAACAACATGTCCCAACCTCTAATGTGGAACAGGTTAAAAAATTGCTTTATCCTGTGTTTTACAATTAAATTTAATTGTAGAAGATGTAGGAGATAACACATTGGCATGGGCAGCAGATTGGTTGGCTAACAGGAAACAGTAGTCTTAAATGGGTAATTTTCTGATTGGCAAGTAACAAGTGGTGTGCCATAGGGATCAGTATTGGGGCCTCAACTTTTCACAATTTACACAAATTACTTGTATGAAGATCTGAAGCAATGGCTGCTTAATGTGCTATTGATACAAAAAAGAAATAGCAAAGTAATTGTGAAGAGGACATAAGGAACTTACAAAGAGATATAGATAGGTTAAGAGAACGGGCAAAGATCGGGCAAACGTAATACAACATTGGAAAATGCAAAATTGTCAATTTGGCATGAAGAATTTTAAAACAATGTACATTTTCTAAAAGGGGAGAGACTGAAGAGGTCAGAGATACAGGAGGATCTGGATGCCCTAGAGGATGATTCACAAAAGGTTAGCATGCAGCTACAGCAATAATGGAAGCTGACAAAATGTTACAGTTTATTGCAAGATGAATTGAATACAAAAGTAGGAGGTTATGCTCAATTATATAGGGCATTAGTTAGACCGCATGGAATATTATGTACAACACTGGCCTACTTATTTAAGGATGTATGTAAATGTGTTGGAAGCATTTTAGAGAAGGCCAATCAGGCTAATACCTGAAATGGATAAATTGGCTTATGAGGAAAAGTTGGACAGGTCAGGTTTGTATCTGCTGGAGCACAGAAGGGTAAAAGGCAACTTCATTGAAACATGCAAGATACTGAGGGGTTGTGACAGAGTGGATTTGAAGTGGATGTTTTTTCTTGTGGAAGAATTTAAAATTAGAAGTCACTGCTTAAAAATAGTGCATTACCCATTTAAGATAGAGATGAAAATTCTCTAAGAGGGAACGGCCTTCCTGAAAAGCAGTGGGAGACAACAACTCCAATTTTTTTTTAAGGCAGAAGTAAATAAATTTTTGACAAAGCGGTGAAAGATTACTGGGCTTGCTGGGAATGTGGAGTAATCATATCAGCCATAATCTTATCGACGATGGAGCAAGCCCAAGGGAATGAGTGACCTACTTCTACTCCTCAAGTGCATGTCTGTAAAACTATAGGTTTATACTCTAAAGTAAAAAAGTATATTCTGAAACACTTGAACCATGAATTGGATATTTTCAACAGCGTTAACTAGAAATCACGAACTTATGAATGGCTTGGTGATTTTTAACATGAAAGAAATCAAACTACAACTTGAATTGATAATGTACTTGTATCTTCTCTTTGGATACCCTGAGTACGTTATTGTCAATGAATATTGCTTGTGAATGCAGTTACTGTAATTAAATGTACTTGGTACATTAGGTCCCATGAGCAGCAGAGGAATGAATGATCAAATAATCTGATTTTGGAAGCATGTTGATCAGGTCACTGAAAACATTGCATTTTCCTTCAAAAATTGTGGCATGTAACATTTAAAAGTTAACCAAGCCATTGGAATGGAGCCTCAGTTTAATATCTCACCCAAATGGCTGTATTCGTATCAATGCAATCTTCTCTTGATAATGCAATTAAGTTTTTCCCCAGCTTGTGTGTAATGGGGCTTGAATCTATGAGCCTTTTGTAAATGGCAAGAGCAAATGTAACAAGCTTACCAGATGCTCTACCAAGAAAATATTTTTGGTGCCAATAGATTGCCCATCCAAACACTTACCTAATAAGAACATCTTGCACAATTTTGTTTGCCCTTTCTATTCAAAATTTTCACGATATTTCTAAATGTTTGCAATAGGAACTTTCAAACTTTTGCACAATAAAAGAAAAAAGATGGTTTAGGTTTAAGGTGAGAAGTGAAGGATTTGAAAGGGACCTGAGGGGCAACCATTTCATGCAGAGAGTGGTGCATATTATGGTAGGAGCTGCCAGAGGAAGTGATTGAGGAGAATACAATTACAACATTAAAGAGACATTTGAATAGGTACATGGATAGGAAAGGTTCAGAGGGATAAGGGCCAAGTGCAGGCAAATGGGCCGAGTTCCATTTAGGAAACCTGGTTGGCATGGACGAGTTGGACCAAAGGGCCTGTTTTCAAGCTGTGGAATTCGAAGTGTCATGACAATGGACTCAATCAGTGTCACAGTGCCATCAAGTGGCTAAACATAAAATTGCTGTGATGTTTGAGTTTAAAGAGCTCTGTAAATGGAATAAATAAATGGTGAGTTATTAATAAAATGGCAGGCTGAATCCCTTTTGAAAATAACAGGCAAGTGAAAATTTAGATGAGAAAAAGGATGCATTGGTGCTAAAAGCAATAAATGGAAGGGTAGAATAAATATTTCCAAAGAGTTATTTGGAACATGAAATGAATTGTCACAGGACTGTTTAACCAAGACAATTACAATTAAAAGGAATTAAGTTGCTGCTTCATTACAGTATTGTTATAAGTAGTGTTCTGGATAATGCGTTATAAAGGGATTAGAGTACTGTAGTTAGGTACAATATGCAAATAGTAAACACACAAGAGGACAAAAGGACTCTGTGTTGAAATACCTTGAGTTTTGATGACATTGTACTTTTGTAATACATGGTGATTTCAAATTACTCATGTTCAAAATAGAAATGTTATCCATCACAAGAAATATTTACACTTTCACAAGCAGGATTAAAAACAAATGTTGAATATGTGAAAGAACCCATTTGCATTTTGTTCACAAACACCAGGTAAACAAACTTTATTCATTCGTCAACTAGCCAACTTACTTAATCAAAGCTGAAAATCCAAGTCTGCCTCTACCACCAAAAAGCATCAAGATCAATTAAATATTAAAAATGTCCCCTTATTCTCTGAACGAAACATTGTTCAAACTGCAAATCTATCCCCAGTCCCAATGAACCTGAGAAAGCATGCAAGTGACTCGAATGAAGCGCTGCCATGATTAATAAAAATAAGCATGAAAGTAGTTAGTGTATCTAAGAATCAGTTTATGAGTTGGGGTCCAGAGCTATGCTGGAAATAACTACCCAGATTTCCAATGTTTATCCAACAAAAAAAGGGGAATTCTCCATGTGAACACATGGGCTGGGTGCCTTCTCAAATGGAACAGTCTAATCCAGGAATTTTAATTGCTACGAGAGGTGGGAGCAGGATAATTGGAGACTATCAAGGTGCATACCTTTTCAGGTGGGGGAGTGGTGATCTTGGGAATTGGAAGATCTTGGGGGTTGGAAGAAGTTAGATGGAGTTTGTTTGGGTCTTAAGGTAGTCAGGAAAGGGGCTGGGGGTTTGGTGGTGGTCAGATCAGGTCTAGTGGGAGGGGTGTCAGCGGTGAGTGGGGGGATAGTTTAATAATTACCAGAGAGTACCTGGGCAACTCAGTCAGAATCCTCATAAGTCTGCAACTTTAATATTTGGCTCTTTTTTGGAAGCTCAAGGCCCTGAGCAATTGACTGCTGGAAGTTGCAAAGTACAGGGAATCGTTGGTATTCGGACATGGTACCAATGGAAAACTCAAATGTTTTAGCGAACATCTGTAGCTTGGGTTGTGGCTGGAGTTGTTGGTTAGTTCGCCAAGCTGACTGGTTTTCGTGCAAACATTTCATCTGCCTTCGAGGTGACAGCTTCAGTGCTATCGTGCCTTCATTGAAGCGCCGTTGTTCTGTTCCGTTCTGAATTTATATGGTCCGGTCTGTCATGGTGGGTAGTTCTGTTTCCGATTTAGCTCCGTTGTGGTATGTAGATGGGGTCTATTTCAACGTGTTTGTTTATGGTACCAGTGGTTGAAAACCAGGCTTCCAGGAATTCTCATGCTTGTCTTTGTTTTGCTTGTCCTCGTACAGTTACATTGTCCCAGTTGAACTGATGTCCTTCTTTGTCAGTGAATAGAAACGAGGGAGAGTTAGTCGTGCCATTTTGCTGCGAGTTAGTGTTTGTGCATCCTGGTGGTGAGTTTCCAGCCCATCTGTCCTATGTATTGCTTCTCGCAGTTGCTGCATGGTATTTTGTATATCACATTTGTCCTGCTCATTGTGGGTATAGGGTCTTTCATCTTTGAAAGTAACTGGTGAAGTGTGGCTACATACCACTACGGAGCAAAACCGGAAACAGAACTACCCACCATAACAGACCGGACCAGAAATTCAGAATGGAGCAGAACAACGGCACTTCAATGGAGGCTCAACAGCAGTGAAGATGTCACCTAGAAGGTGGACAAAACGTTAGCACGAAAACCAGTCAGCTCGGTGAACCAACCAACAACGCCGGAAAACTCCAATCAATGATGTAGGAATGACCATCTTCCCATTGGAAGATTTGGGTTAATATATCCTAATTCTCAAAACAATATCTTGCAGAGTGCCTGGGGAATATGAAAGGAGACAGTATGGATGCGTGGAGAATGCTTTAGTCAAAAAGGTGCAAGGGTAGTTTCCATCTGTCTTTAATTTGTATCCTCCATGTACCCCAGAACCATTCCAAAGTAACAAACTTTGAGAATAAGGAGGCATGTGTGATGGGAAGACAGATGCCAGGCGACCAATACCTTCAGTAACTAATGTTCTGAAAATGTAAGCCTTTCCTTGCTAAATCTACACAGGATTAAGATATCCCCACAATGAGACAAACAATTTGGAATACACCTTTACCTATTCCCAAAGTTCATAATCAATTATACTGCAACAGGTGCCAACAGATCATCAACTCACAACAAATAACTGATAATATTATGGAATGATTTTCTATGTATGATTTAGCTTAATAAAGCTATACAACTGTCCAATAACGAAGATAGTAGTGTAATCTATACATGTGAAGTGGAGGATAAAATGAAGATTTAATAATATGTTGACCAAAATGAAATAGGGAAACCATTTAGGGTGGTAAAATAGAATACGACTTTGGAATAACCGCTCTGGGAAAACAGAGCTGATTTATATCATCAAGGTTACAACAATCTCTATGATCACTGCGGGAGTAATGACTCCAATTTGCCCACGTGCGGTGCATGACTTTCACACTGACAATGCAAGATCGAAAGTTTAACTTAGGAGTCAAGAATGCTATTCAACTTCAAATAATACAAACTGTCAAATATAAATCTGACCAACTTAAAAGCAAGCTCAATTATGAAGAGTATTTAGCCTGCCAAAATATTTTTGTTTTCAGAAGTAGAAACATATTTTAATTAGTACTTCTGAAATGTAATGATGGAATCATGTAGCTATACACACGAGGGACGGAGGAAATAACACACGAGGGACGGAGGAAATAACACACGAGGGACGGAGGAAATAACACACGAGGGACGGAGGAAATAACACACGAGGGACGGAGGAAATAACACACGAGGGACGGAGGAAATAACACACGGATTTTGATCAAACATTCTCTCACTCCCTAACTGTTTTTGCACTCACCTGTTAAAAAATATCCTTCCACCTGGATAAATCTCAACCCCAAAAATTTCTCAAGCTAGCTTGTTAAACTTTTAAAATGATTATTTACCACAGGTTTTCTTAAAATGCTACTTCAATGTAGGTTTTCTTCAAATATTCAAGAAACAATACTGACAAATTTCCAAATATCAGGAAGAAAAACACTTAATAATCAGACCTACCACATTCAACAATGCTTCTGAAACGTAAGTCACATACAGGCCCAATTCCATGTGCCATGAACACCAGATGATTAACCTCTGGCAGCTCACCTAAATAATAAAATGAAAGTCTCAGCAAAATGGAAATTCTTAGCCTTTATCAAGATTGTGACAAATTACTCAAGGCATGTCGTACAAAATGTAGCACTCAAAAAGGCATTGGTGGTTACATCATCATTTGTGGTAAAGCAAGATCCTCCTCAGTATTTCTTCAACAGACAGAGAAACTTTCAGTGATAAAATGTTAATTATTGGAGAACCAGCAGCAACTACCGTAAACAAAAAAAAATCTTTTAACAGGGAGATGGCCATAGGACTGGCCATTATTTATGCTTTTAGTATTTTGAAAACGCTGACTTGTAAGAGAATGCAAGGAGATGTTCATTAGCTTCACATGTTTAAAGGTACTTTGTAGAACTTTTCTTTGACACTGACAGATTCAGTTTTATTTATTTGTACTAATTTGTAGTTGTTTGATCCCACTCATCCAATAGTGATCAGACTCATACCTTCAGGAATCTCATCATGGTCATCATCAATCCCACGTTTGACCACTCTGGGCCTAGTCTGTCCATCTGGTGTGGTTCCCCATTCATCTGGTTGTGAGGAAGCCTGGAACTGAACTATGACCTGGAAGTAACCACAATTGATTGAAGTATGCCTTTTTAAAAATATTATTACTGAAAAATGGAAGCATAAAAATAGGCTTCAAAATACATTTATATGGACAGAATCAACATAAAATCAGTTGAAACAATTAGGGGAAGTTTCACATCTGGTTACAAAACCAGAGGTCATATTTTCTTCTTTCCTGAAAACAGCAATTTACGTTGTAGTTGGGTAACAATAAGGGTCACGGTAGCAAATGCTGACATTGAACACATTCTACATCAATTTAATGTATAGATAAAAACTTTGATTGTGCAGGTAATCTGTTAATCTTTTCTGTTACAAGTCTGTGTTCACATTTATAATGAAAAATTTCTACTGCCTGTAGAAATCTGTAATTACTCTGCATCCATTTACTATAATTGTGGACATATAAAAGAATCAAGGAAATTCATAGGCAGAATGCATAATTGAAAAATGGAGATTAAATTTCAGTCCAATTCTCCCACCCTCCAAATCTGCTTCATCTGGAAAAACTACACTTGGTCTTGAAACTGTTTGCAACACTGAAGGCTATCAAATAGAAAAACTGGTCTTTTCATGGAATCATACAGTACAAGGCAGCCCTTTGGCCCACTGAGTCTGCAGTGACACAATTGCTCTAAAGCTACACTAGTCCCACTTTTGATCACTTGATCCATAGCCTTGAACATTATGATATTTCAAGTGCTCATCCAAGTACTGTTTAAACATTGTGAGGTTTCCATCTCAAGTACCCACTACTGGGTGAAAAAAAATTTCAAGTCCCTCTAAATTTCCTGCCTTTCATCTTAAAATTGTGTCCCCTTGTTACTGACCATTCAACGAAGAGGAAGAGGTTTCTATCCACCCTGTTCATATCCCTCATAAATCTTATACACCTCTATCAGGTCCCCCTCAGCTTCCTTTGCTCTAAAGAAAACAAGCCAAACTTATTCAGCCTCTCTTTATAGCAAAATGCCCCATCCCAGCAAAGTCCAGGTGAATCTCCTCTGTATCCCCTTCAGTGCAATCACATCCTTCCTGGTGATAGCCAGAACAGCACACAGTATTACAGCTGTGGCCTAACCAAAGTTTTATACAGCTCCAACATAGCATCCCTGTTCTCCTAACTTTGCCACAACTGATAAAGGCAACTATCCATATGCCTTCTTAACTACCCTTTTAACCTGTCCTGCCATTTTTAGAGATCTGTGGACCAACACTCCAGGATCCTCTGAGCTTCCTAGTGTCTTGTTATTTCAGCCAAAGTTCATCACCTCACACTTTCAGGATTGAATTCCATCTGTCAATAAATCTGCCCATCCAACCAATCCATCTACATCCTTCTGTAACCCACACCTTCTTCCTCACCATAAACCACCTGGCCAATCTTCCTGTTATCCACAAACTTACTTAATATCTCCCCCACCCACATTTCCTTGTATAATTATTTAATTTTATGAAGAACAATAAGGAACTCAGCACTGATCCATGTGGCACCCCACTGGACACCGGTCTCCAGTCACACAAACAACCTTCTACTACCACCTTGTATTTCCTATCATAAAGTCAAGTTTGGATCCAAATTGCTAAGTTACCCTGGAGTCCATGTGCCTGTACTTTCTTTATCGATATCACACGTGGGAGGCTGTCAATGGCTTTGCTGACATCCATTTAAACCACATCAAAAACTACACTGATCACCTCCTCGAAGAATTCAGTTAAAATTGTCAGGCATAACCGCTCTCTGACAAAGCCACACTGACGATCCCTGATCAAACATTCCCTCTCCATATGGGGATTAATTCTCTCCTATCCAAGTTCCATCAGAGGCCTCACTGATGATGTTACCTAGCATGGTGACGAAATGCCTGAATGAAAACAAGCCAGCTCGGCGAGCAAGTCAATAACCTCACCCACAACCTGAGCTACAAATCTTTGCCAAAATCTCTCCTGTCCAATTTTCTCCCATTGTTTCCCTACCACTGATGAGACTCTCACAGGTTTGTAATTTCCTGGTTTATCTCCACCACCCTTCTTGAAAAGTGGAACCACATTAGCTGTCCTCCAGTTCTCTGACACTTCCCCTGTGACCAGAGAGGAATTAAAAAGTTTGTGTCAGAGTCCTAACACAGTTCCTCTCTCAACTCCTATAGCAGCCTAGGGTACAACTCATCCTAACCTGAGAATGTGTCCACTTTTAAACCTGTCAAAACCTCTCATACCTCCTTACTCCTTATGTCAAGTGACAAGAACCTCACAATCTCTCTTCCCAAATTCTGTACCTACAACCCTCTTCTTCCATGTGAAGACAGATGTGAAGTACTTGTTTAACACCCTACTAATGTCTTCCGACTCCATGCACAGATTGTCCCCTTGGTCCCTAATGGGCCCTGCTGTTTTCTTGGTTAATCTTTTGTCCATGATTCACTTAAGTGTGTCTTGGAATTCTCTCTAATCTCACCCGTAAGTATATTTTTATTGCTCTCCTAATTGCTTCAGTTCCCCACTACACTTTCTACATCCCACAAGGGGCTCTGTTGATTTGCTCCCTTTGTGGCCATTAAAAGCCTCTCTTTGCCTTCTTATCCAATTCTGATGTTCCTAGACATCCAGGATTCTCTGGACTTCTTATTCCTACATTTCACTCTAACGGGAACATGTTGTGCCTGTACTCTCCCCATTGCCTTTGTGAACATGCCCAATGTTCTGTTGTAGATTTACCTACAAGTGTCTGTTCCCAGCCCACTTTAGCTAGATCCTGCCTCATTTTAATAACATCTGCCTTATCCCAATCCAAAACACTTATTTTTGCAGACTCTTTTTTTCCATTTTCCATAACAAACTTAAATCACACGGTGTTGTGGTTGCTATCAGTAAAATGTTCCCCCACTGCCACCTCAGTCAGAAGCCACGCAACACCAGGTTAAAGTCCAACAGGTTTATTTGAAATCAGCTTTTGGAGCACTGCTCCTTCGTCAGGTGAAGTGGAGGGAAGCGCACAGGCACCGAATTTATAGGCAAGAGATCATTGCAAGACACTTTTAGGTAATAACACTGCACAGTAACTTGTTACTTTCGTTAGACCCTCGTCATGCGACTCTTATACCTGTCATGTTATTCTAGCCATTTGTTTCTAGCACCATCTTATTTTTGATTTTTGGTAATTATCTCTCTACCTTAATTAATTGGATCATAGGTCATCCCTTCACTTGCTATTTAGCTGTTGACACTTCACTCACACCATTTGACACTTTGGATCACCTGCAGAGACTTGTTATTCAGCCTATCAACACTTTACTCACACCATTTGTACTATCTTTTTATAGTCATAATTACTTGGAATTATCTTGCAATGATCTCTCTGCTTATAAATTCTGTGCCTGTGTGCTTCCCTCTGCTTCACCTGATGAAGGAGCAGCACTCTGAAAGCTTGTGATTTCAAATAAACCTGTTGGACTATAACCTGGTGTCATATGACTTCTGGCTTTGTCCACCCCAGCATCTCCACATCATGGCTGCCACCTCAAACAGCTGGCGGGCCTTTCCCAACAGTAAGATCTAGCACTGCATCATACCTTGTTGGAACTTCACATGTTTAAAGAGTTCTCCTGAATACATTTTAAGAAATCTACCCGCTCTAAACCCCTTTACACTATGACCATCCCAATTAATGTAGGGATTTAAACTTCCTCAAAATATAATTCCCTTATTACAACTTTTTACACACCTCAATGAATTATCTACATATCTGCTCCTCTACTGCCCGCTGTTCGGGAGCCTATAATACTCTTTACCCACAAACCCTCATTTGAAGATCCATTCAAGATATCATTCCACTTTACTGCAGTAACTGATTTAATAATGCAACCCCACCTCTGCTTTGACATCCTGTACCTCAGATTGTTCAGGTACTAGTCCCACCCCTCCCTCAACCACATCTCAGTGATGACAACAAGACTGCAATTCCACAGGGAGATGATGGCCTAGTGGCGTTATTGCCGGTCTCTTAATCCAGAGACCCAGGTAATGTTCTGGGGACCTGGATTTGAATCCTGCCACAGCAGATGGTAGAATTTGTATCCAATAAAAATCTAGAATTAAGAGTCTAACGATGACCACGAAACCATCGGTGCTTGTTGGAAAAAGAAAGCAACATCTGTTTCACTAATGTCCTTTCAGGAAGGAAACCATAAAGTGGTTTAAAAAAAAACACAAATCGGATTGGGGACCCACCAATCCCATTGGGAAAACTGGAAATGGACAAATTAATTCAAGCTTGGTAGCATCATCAACATAGAGCACAGTTGCTCCTCCTAAACACTGACACCTGGCCCAGAGATCAGTTTCAATTTGTGCCTTGATTGTTAGCATGTGAGAAAACTATTCAACCCAATCCTGTTCCTACCTGATGTCCATACATTTACACTTTTCAACAAGGAATTCTGTATGAAGACTGCAAGTGAGAGTTTGGATCATCTCCCTTCACCAACCCTCCAATTCCTAAAGGGCATATTACATTAATTGAGACTAAGCAATTCAGCACAAAAAAAGGATCAAAACTTGGACTTCAAGTGACTCCAAATAGCTCATATAGTGCCTTTATCGTTCAATCACTGGGAATACTTCACAACCAATATAGGCACTTCCGCAGCTGGCGGAGGTTTGCACCCATTATCTACCATTGTATACGAAGCTCTTGTTTCTTTACCGCAAGGGCATCACAGTTCAAATATGGATCTAGGGTCTTCTTTATGGATAAATGAGGTAGTTGCAGCAAATGTAAACATGGAATATTGTTCTATTAAATTGAAATAGTATAATTGAAAACCGAATCAGTCGTTATTACCCTAGATCAAATAGAAGCAAACATTTTTTGAAACCCATATCTTTATATCAATTATATTGCATGAAAGATCACAATTCACTATTGCAAGTACACTGTACCTTTGGATTATGCATAACAATGGTTTCCCCACTAGAGAACTCCAGTCTTTTATGCCACTGGTTGGTAGTTACAGCTTTTTTATATTCCCCCTGCAAAACAAGAGATACATTTTGAGAGGCATCCAATTTGTTCAATTTGCTTATCTCAACAAATCAAAACAAACTTAAGAATACACTGAAAGTTTCAAATTCATTTTTAGTAAATACTGATATGTAAAAACAAACAGCACATGTTTCTATGACTTCAATGGCAAATGCAAATGAGTTAACAGATTTGCAAATTATTTTCAAATGCCACAATGCATGTCTGCAGAAGAATTCTAAACACAAATGACAACAGAATACAGCGAGTTCCTTAGATCCAGTAAGGAAGATAAACTACACAGAAAGAAAATCACTAGATTCAACAACTAATTTGCTTAAAAGTGTCTTACATTGCTATTGATATGAAATAACCTCCAGAAAGAAAAAAATTATCTACAAGACAATTATTTTGAGAAAGGAGCACAAATGATTGCAGAAATAGAAGAGCACAAATAATTGTAGAAATGTCGAGACAATATTAACCATACACAAATCATGAGAGGCGATCCTAGCACCTATACCAAATCCCAGTATTGCAGCAAATCTTTGCTTGCTTCAGTTTCCAGCCAGAACAAAGGAACAGTGCAATATCAGTTTTGTTGAACTTGCACAGGGAACCTAAGATTTTTGCAAAAAGACTTTACATGTCCCAAATAGATTATAACACCTGTTAAATGCAAAAAATCAAAGCTGCAAGTAATAGGCTACATGGTCTAACACTAGAGGTCAGAAGTGCCCACAGGTGATCCCGAGTGAGATATTGGCAATCAAGAGTTTTCGAATTTGTGATCCTTCCTTCCCTCAACGTCAGCCCATTATGCTTCTTCAAATCAGAACATAAACAAAAAATAAAATAACTGGTTAAATCTGGTTGGCAGAAATATATTTCTTGTCAGAATTAAAAAGAATGTGAACAAAAAAAAAGGTGCTGACCCACAGAATAATTTTGAGAACATTTACAGTATTCCATGTGAAAGCAAATAAAACTGCTGTCATTAAATTTTAAAGCTAAAAGTGATTAATATGCATTTTTTGCACTGATTGGCTGTCTGTACAGGATGGGGACAAAATCAACTGCCAGGTTACTTATGACAATGGGCATGCTAGAAATGGAACTGGAAAGACCCAGTTTCAGTTGATTCAACAAGCCTAGTCCTATCAAACAGAGCCGGTTTTCTTTAACGCAGGATTACCATTCATAAACTTACATCAGATTTGCCATTGCCATTATGGTTACTTCACAGAGAGGTGCTGCAGTAGAAGTAATCAGTCTAAAGTTCCTCCATGATCTTATATAGATCATAGCTCTAACCACTGATTCTGCTGAAAGTGGTATAAATATTTCATAGAATTGTAGGCAGTTATGGGAATCACATACGTAATCACCGGAAAGTTCAACCAGATCATTTGAATATCAGATCAGGTGATCTACATTTTCTCTAACAGGGGATAACTGCACGTGGTCAGGGGCCCTCTTGTGGCATTGAGATAGTGTC